GTGCTGCTGACCACTAGTCAGGACGTTGTGGATCGGTGGGCAGAGTACTTCGAAGACCTCCTCAATCTCACTGGGGACTTTGGGTTTGTCCAATCTCTGGTGCTAAGTCACTGAAGTGGTCAAATAGCTCATTGGCAAGGCTCTGGGGGTGGGTGAGCTGCCCAGAGTTCCATAAGGCTTTGGATTTTGTTGGGTTGTGTTGGCTGAGGCGGTTCTGCAATATTGCATGGACATTGGGGGAAGTTCCCCTTATTTAAAAAGGGGAACCGCAGGATGTGTTCCAACTACAGGCGGATCACACTCCTGAGCCTCCCTAGTAAAGTCTATTCTGGGGTTCTGGAAAGGAGGGTCTGGCGGGTAGTCAAACCTCAGATCCAGGAGGAGCAATGTTGATTTCGTCCTGGCCGTGGAACACTGGGCCAGCTCTCTACCCTTAGGGGGCCCTGGAGGGTGTATGAGAGTTTGCTCAACCAATCTACATGTGTTTTGTGGATTTGAAGAAGGCGTTTGTCCGCGTCGCTCAGGGGACCCTTTGTGGGGTACATCAGGAGTATGGTGTACCAGGTCCTCTTATACAGGCTGTTAGGTCCCTATATAAAAGGTGTCAGAGCTTGGTCCACATTGCCAGCAGTAAGTCGGGCTCGTTTCCGGTGAGTGTCTTACCTGTGTAGCGTGGTTAACTACATACTAGAATTAATGCTGTTTGCTATCAGCTTTGTTAGATTCTGAAGAAAAGATCGGACATTTAGCCTATGAACCTATATTATGCACCAATATCTAGGATATTCATGCAATCGATAGAAGTTCATACACTAACTGTCTTATCTATATTTTAATCCAAAGATTAATGTTTAATTTAAGATAATTAAATTTAATAGCAAAAGTGTATTTATTTAATCAGAAGTTTAAAGGAATCTTTGCGTTTTCAATAAAAAAAATACACCATTCTGTGTTTCATTTCAAAGAAGAGTCAGAGTTTTTAAAAAGTTAAGAATTTATTACTAACACTTTTAAAAATGACAATTTGAAATGACAAATGACAATTTTTAACAGACAATTTGATGTTAAAACTTGTTTTAAAAGCAAACCTGTGACTGGATGGAAACTAAATGAAATGCGAGTTTTTGGATGCGTGAATGAATCTCAGGTTTCTTTCAGCGAGAGAAGAGTTCTGGGTGAAAAGTTGGTTTTGCAGCTAACTGATGTTACTTAGATAAACAGCATACAGACGCCATCTGTCAAAAGTGTCTACCTCACCCAGTATCAGGAGACCCTCTTCTGGATCCGAGATGTCAGGTGGAGATGATGTCCTCCGGGCATGAGGTTGGTAGAAGGACCTTATGGGCCATTCCCATCTGTACCAGGTCGGCCAGGGCCGGGTAGCCCCAGTCGGCCCCAGCCTGGCCCGGTTGATTCCACACATCCTTGTCTTAAGCCCATGTGGGCTGATTCTACCCACCAACCAGAGGCTTGCTCTAATGGAAGACGTGAATTTGCTGTCAGCAGTGGGTGTGTTGGCCCTGGTCGGCCTGAAGCAGACCCCCTCGAGAAGAGGGCTGAGAATGAGCCTTGGTTGGCCCGGAAAAATACCAGGCCACCCAGATATGTAAACAACCTACGCTACCCGGCCCGGGCCGACCCGGTACAGATGGGAATGGCCCATTAGTGCGACCAAATCGGTCCTGAGATGTCTCCGTGGGTCACTTGACTGGTGAAACTATTTGCGTCTCAAATTCAATAACTCTGAAGGAGTTTTGCATCAGCTGGTTACAGGTGCGTTTATTCGAAGCAAGTCTATCGGCGTGACAGAATGCTTAGTAGAGACTTGGGCGGCCGTCCCTCGTCTCCTGGTATGGTTCAAGAACCGACCTTACAGCTGCGGGATTTGGTTTTAACAAAACCCTCAGAACACGCTTTCTCAGCGTCAGAAAGCTTGGTCATGAAGTAAAGACATGTGAGGTGTTTTACCCTTTACCCTGGATACCCTTCTGCGTGAGGTGGTTAAACGTGCAAGATGACCTTCTGGTTTACTGAACACACATTACGGATTATCATAAATAATTATATTATTCAAAGCATAATAAGTAATTTCAGTAATTAAAATGCATGTATACTGAACCAAGAGATTATTTATGATGGTTGTAATAACAGTAATAAAGTCAAGAGTTTATTCAAATTATTATTTAAAATTATTATTGTAAAATCTTGAAGTGTCCTTCATCTTGGGATGGAACAGCAGCAAATGGTTTCAGCAAACATCACGGCTCCTGGCGGGTTAATCTGTGGGGCAAAGTTACAGTTCGACCCGGCTTGACCCAGCTGGGAAAATGTGACCTTTGTCACAAATTAGAGGCCATTCATGATGCTACACCTGTCCGTAGAACATTCTCCCAGAAGCTTTGTGGCTTGTCAACATGTAGTTTGGCATATTCCAATCAGGCTTTTTTATTAATTATTTTCAACAATGGTGTTTTCCTTGGTTGTCTCCCATGTAGTCCACTAAGGCTCAAACGACAGATGCATGTAGTCCACTATGGCTCAAATGACAGATAGTGCGACCTGACATGGAACTTTGAGCTTGAAGTTCACCTTGGATCTCTTGAAAGGTTTTTTCTGGACTCTTTTGTTACCATTCGGATTATCCATCTCTTTGATTTGTCATCAAGATTCCTGTCCCAGGAGGTTGGCTACAGTACCATGGATCTTACATTTCCGAATAATTTGTGCAACTGTAGTCACAGGACCAGCTAGATGCTTGGAGATGGTCTTACAGCCTTTATCTTTAACATGATTTTATAAAATTTTCGTTCCAATCTCCTGAAACAACTTCTTCCTTCACTTCCTCTGGTCCATGTTGAGTGTGGTACACACCATGCCACCAAGCAACACATTGACTATCTGGGGCCCACTGACTTTTTGTAGACACCTGTGATGCTAATTAGTGGAGACACCTTAAATTAACACGTCCCTTTGTTCACATTATTTTAAGTCTTTTCTTGGGGTACCATCATTTTTGTCCAGGCCTGTTCCATGAGTTTATTTTTTTAAATAATTCAGTTGAAGATGGGTTGAAAAGAAATGTCTGACTTTCATTGGTTAAATTTCATAGAATTTTTATTTATTATAACTTTTGTCAGATTCTACTTATTTCTGTGACTATTGTGGGTTTTTCTTTCATTGACCAAAGGGTAACAACACTTTTGTCCATGTCTGTACATTTATGACACTAAATCAGGGTTTCCCCCAGAGCTTTATAAGCATGGTGGGACCATGGCCAGACTTTGCTTGGTCACCCACCGGGCTAAGCATGGTCCTTCCTTCCTACCGAGGAACGGTAGTGCTAACACACACATACACACACACACCCATACCCACCCCCCGTCTGTTGTGTACAGACCATAAGCTCATCCTCTGTTCAGCCCATAAAGGTCATCTCAGGGCAATGGGAAACAAATTGTATCAATAAACATTAAAAATGAAAATCTCTTATTATAGGTGGAAAAAATGATCCAGCTTTAATAATGTGCTAATGCTGAGCTCTTATGTTTTAAAATGGGAGTTATAGACTTTTGCTGAAGTGGCATCAAATTGGAAAATAAATGAAAATAATTGTTTTATGTTCCCAACTGCTTACTAGCATGTTATGAAGCACGTGGATACCTTAATGAGAACTCCGTGCCATAAAATCAGAGGACTACAGAGTGATTTTTAGCCAAACATAAAATACTGTCTATTTCTACGTTAACCTGACGATATAACGAATCACAAAAAAGGCTAAACTCCTTTTTTCCGTTTGCAAAATGTAACTGTTGAAATCATCAGCTCAGTTATCAGTGCTCGAAAAGAAAAATGGAAATTTTAGAAATTTGTTAGGCTAAAACAATTTTTGATTCTGAATGTTCAGATGTTTTTTTTTAGATAAGAAATGAAAAGCTTCATAATGTGAGTGTGATTTAACTGTGTCACAGTGAGTCGATGCCCCTTTAGTGTAATGGTGCATGATGGTGTGTGGAATGACCACATGACGCTAATTAAAAGTGCTGTGAGCAGAAACACCACGCTGAACTCGATACATCCAGGACACAGACCACAGGAAAAGCCGCGGGGTGGGAATCAGGCCAGAACCGCTTCCCCTCTTACGGGGAGGACGCTTTCAGCAGCATTGACCGGACAAATGAGCATGTTCACCCTTAATGCAGTCAATGAAAAGTCACGCTGGACACAGAAACTGTAGGCTTCATAGGCAGGAGGTGTCATATGATGGCAATCATCCTGTGTAACTTGATTTGAGATTAAATCCCTCATCGACACTGTTCACCATCCTCCTTCTCTGTGCTGTTATCAGTTAAACTTTAAAAATGTGTTTTTTATGTGGTTTTAGTGAAAATGGTTGTCCTTCCATCCTTTTAACACCTTGTAGAGCTAAGACTGAGCCTCATCACTCCCTATGCTAGTGACTCATTGCTGGCATGATGACATTCGCAGCTATTCTAGCTGTGCAGCAACTTAAATGATGTATAATGTCTCAAGAACATTAGGGAGAGATTCGGCTGCAATGAGACAAATTTATCTCTTCCCATCCAGCTTTCAGGGAGCTAACACAGAGAGGTGCACAATGTACAGAAATAACACATCACCATGGTTACAAAAGCATAACTCTGTGGCTTCACATCCACCACACACCAGATAAAACGGTATAATCAAAGCATGTTTTAGAAGCTGTCTTCATGAAGCCGTCTCTGGCCTCGTCACATATTTTCCAGAGTTTTGACCTTCTACAATTCCTGAATCTGGCTGTGTTCTGGATGCTGCTCCGTTGCTCAGCTTTCTGCTCTAACCAGCCCACATACACCCACTCAAGGGCATGTTGTGATGCGCAGATGTGACTGCATCATCACCCTTAATCCTCCTCAAATCTAGCTCTAAACTCTTCTCATTGAAAGAAAAGGGGGGGGGGGGGGGGGGGGGGGTAAAAGAAAAACAACAGTAAGTTCACCAACCTTCACAATGTATGTGACTCCTGGACCAGAAATCTTCTCGTTTGAGTGCAGCCATCCTCTGGGGGGTTTGCTCACCAGTCCACCACCTCCACCTGGACCCCAGTCCTCTCTACTAGGCTGCTGATCCTCCAGCCTGCTCTTCTTGCGCATGCTGACAGCCGGCTCCAGTTGCGTGCAGGGGGCTGTATGGGAGACCGAGCTGCACAGAGAGCCTCCCACACCAGAGGCTGCTGATGATGCCGCCGCTGCCGCCACACTGGGGCTCGTCCCACTGGAGAGGCCTGAGCCTGATCCCCCACCCCCCTGCAGCTTGGACACAGCCAGGTCCTTGACGACCGAGGGCAGACCCTTGATGCTGAGCAAGCTGCCTGAGTTGCTGAATTTCAGGCTAGAGACTTTGTTGATGAGGGTGCAGAGGGTGGTGCTTCCATCTTCCAGGTGGTCAGAGCCGTGGCTGGTGATGGTGCTGGATGGAGCAGGGGTGGAGGATGGTTGAACCTCGGCCGGGGGTGTGTAGGATGTCTCGGCTGCAGACTGAGCGGAGGCCGAGACCTTGGGGTTCATGGACAGGCCGTGGAGAAGCTCATCGACGGATGTTACGGACTCATTCCTGAAGCGGTTGTACTTGGTACGGTGAAGCATACCCTTCTCTCTCTTGCTCTCTCTGCTCTCTCCACCAACCAACACACTCAGCCTGCCTCCTTCACAGGCGTGCTGGCAGACGTGGCTGAGCCGCGCTGATTACCCTCTCCTCTAACATAGCAACAACGATACAGGCAGCAAACGCCTTTCAGCAATCACAGGCCACCTGACTGGAATTTTTTTTCTACTGGGGGTGACAGTGCTGGATGTGCTGAGCTGCTGCTGCTTTCCCCAAAGTCCAATCTGCTATCAATAAAATCCAGAGCAGAAATCCAGTCCGTCAGATAGAAAAACACAGACAATCCGTGAATGACAGGAAGAGGATTATAAAACACTGCCAGAGTTGGAGAGCTGCTTTTCCAGAGGAGATGCTGCTGCTGCTTCTACCCCTTCTAAAATCTCGCCTCAAAATCCTCCCCCAAAAGGTCTAAAACAGTGAAAAGATCAGCGATGATCACGGACACTGCGAGGAAAAAGCAAATACTCTCTGCTGACTGTTGCTTGCCTGCCTGCTGGCTCCGAGCTAAAGCATGACTCACTGATCTGAGAAAACCTTCTCAACAAAAGGCTTGCTGAACACTGCAAATCACTTCCTGTTGGAGGGAGAGGAGAAAAAACTCCCACTTACAGCACACCAGAACCAATCAATTTTTAAATTCCCTCGTCTCGTGTTTATCCTCCATAACTCTCGCCCAACATTTATTTCTGAGAAAAGGAAATGGAGAATTACAGAATATTTGATGTTCCAACTCAGAAAACCAGTTATGACCTAAAATTAACCCAAGTTTGTGTCATTAAGACCATGATAAAAATGATAAGACAAAAGAAAACTGATCATTAAAAACTAAATAAAAAATAAACTGATCTGATTTAACTGACGTTCACACAATCACGGCCTACTAAATCCAAAATATATGTGATTAAAGATGTTGTTGAATAATGAAAAAGAAATATGGTGCAAAACTGTGACTTGACTGGAAGTAACAGGGTAATATTGCCCATGTTATTCTATAAAAGCAACACAACATGAGCAAAGATCACGACTGGGTTCGTTTTATCCAAAATCTACAACTACTCAGTGCACTTGTCATTCCTGCAAAACATTTTTGTAATCAGACATCAATTCAAAAATACATTTCTGACAAAAAATAATAATCGATGAGATGATCTAACAAATGTGTCATGCACAACTTCTGTTAGCTTTTTTGGAAAAAAAAGACAAAATTCATTATTTAACATCTAGGATACAAAGAGATAAAAACAGAACTGATCCTGGTGGAACTGTATGAATGAATGAATGGATGGTATAAGTCAACAAATAACAAACAAAATAAGGACACACGTTTTTCAAGCAGAAAAGTCAACGAGTTAAAACAAAACCAATGAAAATCTCCTTAAAAACCAGCAGCGATGCAGCATTCATTTCTCCCCTCGATGGCAGAAAAGCACACGTTCAGAAAAAATGTCCTCAGAAGCATCTAGCTGCGCTCAAAGACCGACTCTCATTCATAAGCAGCTTCCGCTTTCACTCTGCTGCAGATTTCGCACTGCAGTCCTTCCCAATATCTCCTGTTCCTGCAAGGCAATGAGGGAGGGAAAAAAAGACAGCACGTCTGCCGTTTCTCCTCAGAAACAAAGGCAAACATAAAGGCAGGGGTGATGAGGCAAGCTCTCAGAAATCAGAAGAACAGGCAAAAAGGCAAAGGATGGAAGAGAAGAGGACCAAGAAAAAACAAGAACAACAAAAAGTGATTTTTTTTCTATTATGTGAATGAAATAGCAGGTTGGCATACCAGTGTTTCTGTGAATGGAAGCAAGGCCTTTCTGCCTCTGCAAGGCAATCCCTTGGGATGGAATGGTCTTATCCAATCAGGAGCCGGCTGGATGACTCATTCAGGGGAGGCTTGCAGAATAGTGGAAGAAACCATTCCAGACGACGGTGTGCATCTGAAGATTTCTGCCTTAACTGTCCCTTAAAAAGGCTAAAGACTTTACAGGGAATGAGGTGTTTACATATTATAACCACGTGGTGTTTGGATGAGGGGAGAACAAACGTGAAAATTGTGTAAAACATAAACTAGAAGAAATGCTGCCACCCCCATGGTTCTGATTGGTGTTACTGTCACCTTTTTCTCCTTCACATTCATGTGCACAGCTACCACCTACGTGTTTAATTATTAATTTATTGTTTAGGTGTACATGCAGCACAAGAAACATGTTTTCAGTTAAAAAATCTGAACAAGACCCTGATGCTCCTCATGTAGATGCTTGATGTTATGTCAAGATGTCAGACTATGTGAGAACATTTCATATTCATTAGTTTTGTTGGCTGGTTTGATTGCAGGAACACAGCTAATTATTATTCTTTTTTTTTAACAAAACAGATCATAAAAACATCCTCAAAATAGTGAAAATTTATAATTAACCAACTGCTTTCCAGCATTTTAAAATAAAAAGATTTATGAATGCCTGCAATGAGTTATGGAGATTATACCAACTTGAACATGCTTTCATTTAACTTAGATTTGTATATTTAAAATTTGACTATTGCCTAAAATGAAGAAAAACTCTCTAAAATTTGTTTAAAGGTGAGGTAAACTGAGAAACCTATAGTACTAGTTATTTTTTAAATACAATCAGTCATTCTTAGTTTCATTCTTAAAACATAAAAAAGTCTTCTATCCCTATTTCCTGCATTACCCGCCAAAATTAAATTCTGTAAAATTGCATTCATAGAATTACTCACATTGGAAGGTTGTTGTTGGTTTTTGCAGCCAGGAAAAATCCAAGCTAAGTTAGTAAAGGCATGGACAAAACTGTTGGTAACCTGTTGGTTGGCCCCTCAGAAACATTGGTCAGAAACTGTTTTTATCACTTAAGAAACATCTCCAAACTGCGAAGGTTGGTGTCAAAACATGAGCTTGAAATGGTTCTCCATGCCTTTATCTCCTCCCGTCTAGATTACTGTAACACACTTTTCACATGTTTAACAACAAAGCACTTGACCGCCTTCACTTGGTCCAGAACTCTGCAGCGAGGCTCCTAACTGGAGCAAACAGAAGAGCACACATCACTCCTATTCTCTCCACTGGTTACCCGTTAACTTTAGAGTTCATTTTAGAATCCTGACTATAACTTTCAATGCTCTACAGCAGGGGTGTCAAACTCATTTTAGCTCAGGGGCCACATTGAGGGAAATCTAGTCCCAAGTGGGCCGGACCGGTAAATTAAAAACAACTTCAGATTGTTTTCTTTGTTTTAATACAATCAATATAAAACAAGGCTGGAGCCTGAGGACAGTGTATCCAAAATAGTACAAGTACAACACCTGAAGTGTACTTGAAAATTTGAAAAAAATAAAAAATCAATAAATAAATAAAAAACATTCCTTAGTGATTCAAAGAGCTTACAGATCACATGGCTAGATCAGTTTCATGCAGCACTTAAAGTATATTTGACTCATTTTACTTTACATCTTTTAGCTTTCACCAGAGCAAATGGAGGCAGTGGAAGAGTGGCATTACTGTTAAGCCTGGTTTATGCTTCTCCGTCAGCTCCGCAAGGGACACATGCACGGATTGACGGAAGCGTTTTGCTCTCATACTTCTCCGTCTCCTGGAGAGTGTTGCAAAGCAATTGCCCGGCAGGTCAACAGAGGGCGTAGCGCTGTTCTGTGGTATCCTGTCATGTATCGGTCCAAGATAGTGTTTATATTGTGTTTTTTGTGTATATAAGAGACTTTTAACACGGACATATTTGTTTCTCATTCTCCCACCTCTTCGTGCGCTCCCCACCTCTAAATCCACGTTTCCTGTCATTTCCGTCCACAAATAAAACACTTGCTGCACATCTTTTCACTCCTCCAGTCACGGGAGAATTAAACGTTCATATTTTTAGAGTTTTTTTGCAAGGTATTCTTCAAGCTTCTCCGAGTCTGCCGCTAGTTATCCTCGGCTCTCTTTGCAATGGCGGCGCTGTAAACAACAGCGGCGTCCTGACCAATCACAAGCTTGCGTAATCCGTCTCGTTCGACAGATGTTTAAAAAAGTGGGCTCGACTCCGTACATACTTGCGTGCCTGCTGGAGCCCTACGCAAGGACGGATAACGGCATTGCGTGTGCTCCGCACTGACGCAGACGGAGAAGCATAAATCAGGCTTTAGTCAGTCAGAGGCGAGATCACTGCAAATCACAAATATTAATGAGAAAGAATACAAATCCTGCCGTTCCCCAATCTGCTCCAGCTAATTTCTACTTTCTGAAAAAGGAGCGCCAGAGCTTTCATTCATACTAGAGACCACAGCGGATTAATTGAAATAACAAGCCTATACCTACTTTAAAATGAAAGACTTTTTATAAAACACAATTAAAAGAATTTACAATATGTGTAATACTCAGAGATAAACACTACATCTGTATCAACACTGGTATTGCCTAATATCAGTCATTTCAAAACATATTATGTTGGTCTGTAGTGCTGTATTGAAAAATATACCAGTATCAAAATATCAAATTAGAACAGACTGAACTGGATTGGATCATGTTAATCTATTCGAACTCTTGAGAATCTAAATTGAATGGATTCTTGAAAATTGAGTCGATACCCAGCTCCGCAAAATAAAACTGGGCCAATATTTAAAAACAGATTATTTTTCCTGTCTTGTTGCCATTTGAATATGTGCTTGACATAATAATCAATAACTGTTTCAACTAAATCTGATTAATTTACCAATAATATCTATTCTAATTGTAAATGGAGCATTATTGTTTTTCTACAATAACCTCTAGACCATCTCAGTTTTCCAGCCATCCTCACTCTTCTCAGACGTGGAAGGAAAGACTCCACCACTAGATGTCACTTCCTCCTGGAACTTCAAATGTTCTTATTCATAAAACAGTGGACTCAAATCCAAATAAACAAAAATGCTTGGGCCAGCTTTGGCTTAGATCACAAAAATAGAAGCTCTTTTTCACTGTTTATTTGTTTTGTCACAAAAACAACAAAAAGTCAGAACATGGCTGACCTTAAAGTAAGATGTAGAAATATAGTGAATGGGTGGCCACTTAAAATGTTTCCTAGCATTTGACAAACAGCCCTATCTGGTACAGGACAGCTAAGGTTACAATATGCAGCATCCAGTGATTTAATAAGGAGTCAACAAAACTCCACATATTAACCAAGTGCCACCAGCTTGCTTCAACTAAAAAAAATAGTATGAACCTGATCCCTTAGCTACCTATAAAAGTAATGTGCATCCATCATGTGGTGCAGCTGCTCATTGGCTGGTTTTAGGCACACATTCAGAACACACACGACAGAAGAGACAGAGGAAAAGAGTCTCTGTTGGAAAGCAAAGCAACAGACACTTCTCCACTTGACTACTGTTGCATGGTTACCAAAAACATTCAAAAAAGCAAGAGTTATTTTCAGACCAACTAGAATAACTACTCTAACAGACAGATCAGGCTAAAGCAGCTGGTAAAATGTGATACTTTATTAAGAGATATTCACAACAAAACAGAATCCAAGAGGTGGGAGGCTGTGGATGATGTTGTTAAGGGGAAGCAAAGGAATTTGTCATGCACCATTGAAGAAGAAGCAAATACATCATTTTGCAAATAAAATGACTTCATGACTCATTGAACGGCTGAAGTCGAAATCCAGTCCAAGGTCCAAAGTTGATGCCAAAGCTGTTTTAAACTAGCACCGTTCCTGAGCCGATGCTATTTTTGTTTTTTACCTAGTGGCTCTAGCATTAATAACGCTTTACAAACAGAGCGTTGTGATTGGCAAGACAACACCATTCGGTCCAATGGTAGACCTGCCGAGGTTACAGTGGAGCAAGGCTAGACTTATCTGCACCTCTATACAGTAAATAAATCTTGTTGGGGCTCAAAATGGCCCAGGGGCCCTGATAAATGGTCAAACTGAACCCATAAATTAGGCCTACACTGAAAAGACTGGTTTGCCCTGCCCACTCAGCCAAGACCTAAATATGAAATGAGCTCTGTGTGTGTATGTGGTGGTGGTGGGGTGTGTGTGGGGGGGGAGGGGGGGGGTCAAGTTCTTAAATTCTTAAAGAGCAAGTTACCCCTACCAGAGTATTACTCCACTCCCACTTCCTGTTTGAAAAATGCACCAAATGCTGTTGCCTAGCAGATCGAGAGGGTGGAGCCACTAACAAATACACACACACACAGGCTCACGACAACTTTGTGACATCATATGGTACCAGCTAACGTCCTAGGGTACCTCTTAGCCAAAAGCGATGGCAGATTTAAAAGAGCAAGTCACCCCGAAATCTACGTTTTTTGCTGATAAACTATATAAATGAGTGTGTAATCATGCTGTAGATGCATGTAGTCAATAATTTGGCACTTTAGTGCATCTTGGTTAAAATTTAAATATTCTGTCTAAAACTGTCAGTATTGCGCCGTTGTCAGGTAAGAACTCTGCACTACATTTGAATTCAAGTTTACTACCACTATTAGCTAAGAGGTACACAATGACATTAGCTGGTAGATTATGATGTCACAATGCTGTTGGACTGCCAGGCAATAGCATTTGTTGAATTTTTCAAACATGAAGTGGGAGTGGAGTTTCTTGTAGGGGTGACTTGCTCTTTAATTTTCCTGTTATCGAAAAATGATGCTTGCATTAGGTTGGGCCGGCACTGGCAATAGCTTATCCTGTTAACAGTTGCTCGAGGCTAGTTTTTCGGTGCGATAGCTGCGATCGGGATTCACCGTATTAACCCGAATATATAGGACGAGGACGATCCCCCCTTTCCAAAACTAATCTTCAGGAAAAGACGACAAAAAAAAATCACTTTTTAAATTAACTATTTAAATTGAAATTTTGAGAAAAAATACTGAGCAAAAATACTATTTTAATGCTAACTATCAGAACTTTGCTCACA